ATAAGGTAAAAAAACATAGTGACATGTTTTGTATCATAGTTTTTTCTTTTAATTATTATTGAAATAAAAAGTCAGAAATATGGCAAGCTAGTTTTTCCTCTCAAATTTTTATTTTAAATCTATGTCCATTGATACAAGTTATAGGATATATTATTATTTACTTTAATTAAGGAATTTTTATACTACCAATATATGTTTCTTTAGCATAATCTGTCATTTGGATATTTGAAAAAAATTATTATTTGTGCTAATAAAACTATGATTTGAAAAAAAAAAAAAACTGCAAAGTAGATTAAAAAATTGCAAAATGGATAATATTTTGTCTTATGTTTTTTTTTTTCAATTATCATCTTTTTTATCTTTAGATATACATCTTATAAATACATAAACGAGATTGTACATCTCATTCTATTATTTCAACCAAATTAATATTAAAATTTTCACGGTTAAAATAATTAATAATACGCTTTATATTAAAATATAAAATAATTTAAGATGAATATTATTATTAATAGTCGATTTGAACAAAATAGATATTAATAACAATGTCTTAACTTTTAAGATAAGTTTGGAAACCAAATTTGACAATCAAGAAAGTGGTGTGATAATATATAATCGGATGACAACATGGTTTTGCAAAAATCTATAATAAAATCCATGATTAAATTTTAAAAAAACTAACATAAAATTAAACAAGTGTAAGAAAAACATGTACATATCTATTAAATATACTACCTTACATAAAACAACCAAAGTTTAAAATTAAAATCATTAAACAAACTCATTTTGAAAAAGAAACTATTAATAAAAAAATCTAAAATAATATTAGAAAATTAGAACGATAGATTTATAACTTCAAAATAAAAATATCTACCACAGATCATAAATCAGTCAAAAATAAAATCAAAATCATCTCAAAATCACTATCAAATCAAAACAGTTCCTATATCTACAAATGATCAAAATAGTCCGTAGTTAATCTTAAACAACCACCTAAGGTTCATAAATGTCACTTCAAATAAGCTCATGTCGTAAAAACTAAGCATAAACATTGAACATACAACAATCAATTTTACTACGCATGGATACATAAAAATTGGATTAAGGGGTTATCTGAAGTAATTAAATGTTTGAGTAGCATAATGAATCGTATAGAAACCTGGAAGATAAAAAAGTTCATGGACCAAACCATATCTTGTCTTATGCTCCCCGGATTCTAGAAAATTTGCCAAAATCTGGAAATGTTGTCGGATTCTGACCTAATAGCGTCGGCCACTCTGAAAAAACCCTTAGTTTTTGGTTTTTTTTTTTCAACTACAAACTCATCAACTCCTCCAAACCTACTAAATTCAAATCGAACCTAAAAACTCATTTTTAAACAACTAGTTTAGACTAAAATCTAATTTTATACTTTTAAAGTCTAAAACTTTGTGTCTCATAATTTTGGTGGTGAAATAGTCTAATTTGTATTTTATGAAATTCTTGTAAGAAACTATTTTTTCTCATTGTGTTTTTTATTTATTGATAATTAAGGCTAGCCAATCATGGCTGAATTTTGCCCGATAATTTTCTCTCTTGTTTTAGTTTTTTTTGTCCCTTCAAAATAAGGATAGAGTGGTAATAGGTGTTGGAGATCTTTCAAATTCGATATTGAAAAACATCAATATTATCAACATTATTATTAGGAAGTAAATCAAGCGAAAAGAAAAAAACAATCACACAATATAAAGATTTTACGTGATTCGACAATGATATTTACTTTATAATTGCACTAGAATTCATTATTATGTTTTTTTCAAGTGACAACTATAAATACAAATTATGTTATCTCTATTATAATGTGAATAACTAGAGTTTTTTTTTTAAAAAAAAACTTAATAGACTTATACACCTAGTCTAATATTTTATAGACCTTCGAGGAGCCTCCACTTACGTCAATCTCCATAACTTAATGATATAATTACTCTAAAAAAAAAGACCATTCCTAAAACTATAAGGAAACATGAATATAGATAGCTTCATCTGCAATTTTCTACAAATGCGTCATATTTCAAATAAATTAATGGTGAAATGACTTATTTCTCAAGTAACATAAATACGTAGATTAAAGTATTATTTAAATAATGACGTTCAAGAAGTAAGAAGGATGACGAGATTGGATAATCTACTAATGCAGGCGTATTTATGAATTATTATTTTTTTAGCACAAAAAACATTTAGGTACTGCTTTGGTAATCGGGAATAAAATGATAGGAATGAGAATGCGGGAATCGGAATGAAAATTAAGGAATCGGAATGGTATTTGTATTCCAATACTGTGTTTGGAATACTAATAAGGAATCGGAATGCAATTTAAATTTTTTAATATCTGATTTTGTATATAAATATAAATAATGATTAAAAAATAATTTTATTAAACTATAATAGTTATAAAAATAATAAAGGTGATGGTAGTGATTGTGGTGGTTCTATCGGAAATAAAATGATGGGAATGAGAATACAGGAATCGGAATGAAAATTAAGGAATCGGAATGGTATTTGTATTCCAATACCGTGTTTGGAATACTAATAAGGAATCGGAATGCAATTTAAATTTTTTAATATCTGATTTTGTATATAAATATAAATAATGATTAAAAAATAATTTTATTAAACTATGATAGTTATAAAAATAATAAAGGTGATGGTAGTGATTGTGGTGGTTCTAGTAGTGGTGGTGATAGTGGCGAGTGGAGGTAATGATTGTGGTAGTGATGATGGTTGTGATTGTGATATTGATGGTTGTGGTGGTGGTGGTGGTTGTGATGATGTTAGTAGTAGTAGTGGTTGTGGTGGTGGTGGTTATGATGATGTTAGTAGTGATAGTGGTAGTGGTAGTGGTGATTATGATAGTGGTTGCGGTGATTGTGGTGGTGGTCGTAGTTATGATGGTGGTGGTGGTGTTAATGGCAATGGTGGTGGTGGTGATGAAGATAGTGATGGTGGTGGTGGTTGTGATGGTGGTGATGAAGGTAGTGGTGGTGGTGGTTGTGGTTGTGATAGTGGTGGTGGTGGTGATGAAGATAGTGGTGGTGGTGGTTGTGGTTGTGATAGTGATGGTGGCGGTGATGAAGATAGTGGTGGTGGTGGTTGTGGTTGTGGTTGTGATAGTGGTGGTAGTAGTTGTGGTGATGGTGGCAAAAGTAGTTAATAGATAATAAATAAATAAAATATATTATTATATTGAAAAAAATTCATTCCCATTCCTTATTTTTTATTCCCACATTTTATGTGGGAATGAAGTTGTGTGTAAATTTTCATTTTCATTCCCATTCCCACTTCATTCCTTTTAACAAAACAGCTACAATGTGAAAATAAAACTTCAATTTTCATTCTCATCACTCTAGTCCCGATTACCGAACAACACCTTAGGGTTTATACTCGAATGCGAACGTTGGAGGTTTTTTTTTTTTTGGCTCATATTTTCAAATTGGTTTTATAACGCCAAAATAAACCCACATTTCTAATCCAAGTAAAAAGTGAACTCTATCATCCCAATTAAAAAATTCATAAAAACTGATTTTTTGTAATTTTATATGAGTTTTGAATCAAATGGATTGAGAAGAAATCATATTGTTTTAATCATCAAGCTAGTTCACAAGGCAGCGACAGCTGGCAATAATAAATTACACAAATAAATGATTAGATGATGATGAAAAATATTGGAAAACCAATCTCCAATAAACAAAAGGTCCTGATTGTAAACAAAAAACATGATAAAGGGACTCAAATCTTCAAATAAATAGTAAAGGAGCTCAATTAATCAAAATGACATAGTATAGGGATGACACGAGTAATGACTTTTGAAAGAAATGAGGCTTAACACCAGTCGTTCTTGTCCGTTGAGTTGCAGCCAGAGCATTTCTTTCTACGAAGTTGTTTATGATTCACTATCTCTACAAATTGGTTTATAGCTAGATTGAATGTAGTTTTCCAATATTAGATATGCAACTTTCATTAAATCAACAACGATATATCCTATAGTTTGATTTGTTGAAATGGCATGACACCGAAGGATTGTTGGAATGGCTACCATCACTAGGCCAGATTAAAGGTTGATAAATTGAAAGAGAAGCCCAACTAAACGTTGGTAATTCTATCAACTGGATCAACTTTCCTCAGAGCAAAACATATCTGATATGGTGATACCAAGCCACAGACTGCAGTTCTAAAATCTCTTCATATCACAATTCAATATAACACAAGGGAATTCTTTTTTTTTTTTTGAAGCAAAATTCTCATTCTAAATCCCTGCTTCTCATCTGTTTCTCTATTTTTTGTCAGAAATAGAGCAGCTCTTCTGGTCAGTTTGGTGATTTTCCATGGATGATGTAACCTGTCAAATACTCATACACTGATCTGCCAAACTGGATCATGGCAAGATATACATCAGTCCACTTTGTTCTCCACGAATAGACATATAATGAATATCCAACCATAGTATATATATCCATTAAACATATGATCAGACAATAAAGATACATTTAGTGAAATCCAAACCAACAACAGATCCAAACTATTTTACACCATCCCACCGAAAACATAAAAATGAACGAAATCCACACTGAAAAGCATACGAATCCAATATTTTTTCAAGTACAATTAAAAACCAAAAATAGTAATAAATTCAAAGAAGCAGAATCCAACTTGATTGTGAGAGAGCAACCTCTGGACCAATGATCAAGTATATATCTACCAATATCCTCAGGCTGTCAAATAAACAAGACAAAAAATAAAATAAGAAACGGGTCGTAAGCAATGTAGAAATATACATTAAAAAGAATCAGAAATTTTATTGACAAAAAACACAAGTGAAAGCTGCATCTTTTTTTCTCTATGTAAACTAGAAGTTATGAAGTAAAGATAGTTAAAAGAAGTATGAATTCTAATGATGATCTTTAACCCCTAAGGAGTGTGAGGGCTAGAAGGACTTGCCTGTTGCTCTGTACCAATGGCAGGGCCTAGGATTTCCGCATTGGTCTCTTTCTACGCTCGTAATTAATTTGGATGTCTGGGATGTGAGAAATCTTGTGCCAGTCTTCACCCTTCTCCGCCTCGTAACGTTCTGTCAGAATGAAGCATTCGTTGATCCGCAATTCCACTAGTGCTGGTGCTGTCAGAATGTAGTCTGGCAATGCTCGCAACTTTGGACAGCCCTTAACTTCCAATTCTTGAAGCTGTGGCATTATTTTATTCGTTGTATGTTTTTCTCCCGCAATCCTTCCAATCCCATCCCACTCTTCCAATCCTTCCATTTTCCAGATACAGAGTTCTTTCAGCTTCGGGAACGCAGTAACCGGTGCCGTTTCTAGACCTAAAAATCCAACATCCAACTTTCTTGTTTTCACCCCTATTGTTAGCTTCTCAAGGTAAGGTAGTCTTCCGAAAGGAAGCAGAACCTCGAAGCTTCCACAATGAGAGACATCAAGCCATCTTAATTTGGTTAATGACATGATCCAATTTGGCAACAAGGCCCCTCTGTATTCAGATATGCTTAAAACTTGCAAGTCTAGTGGTGGTTGCAAAGCTTCAATTAAATCATTCTCGTCAACCCGCGACTCTGTTTCATCCCCATTGAACAGCAGATATAAGCCAATCAGGTACTTTTTCTTCTTGATTTCGGCTTTCACAGCTTCGCTCAAATCTCCGACATTTCTTAGTTTCTCTATCCATAAAGTCCCTTTGAGGTTGCTTAAGTTTCCCAATTCACCGAGATTAGCTGCGCCACTTTCGTCTCCACCTCCACCCACGATGAAGTTTGTTAATGTTCGAAGAGAAGTTAATTTCTCTATCCCTTTCGGCATGAAGGCTACACCTGAACCAAATATCTCCAGATGCCTCAATCTGATAAGCTTTCGTGTCTTTTGAGGTAATTTCTCTACGGCAACACACCAAGTAAGATCTAAGGATTGCAAATTACATAAATCACTTATTGTTTCAGGCAATTCCTTTAAATATTCGCAGTAAGAGAAATCCAGGTACCTCACATGCATCAGTTTCCCCACATCACTAGGAATTTCTTCAATTGGAGATGCACTCAAATCAAACAACCTCAGATATGTCAAGTTTTGGAGCAGTTCAAGCAGTGGTTTGCTGATTGCAGTATCGTTAAACGACCTGATCAAGAGGCTGCGGAGTTTTCTTGCATTGTAAATTGACCCAGGAAATCGTGCCCAGTTGGAAACTGTCATAATTGCATGACGAGCTCTTTCGTAGGAAAAGTCCGTTGTTTTGCTCTTCAGAACATCAGTTTCCACAGTGAAGCTTTCATCCTTCATCAAAAACTGGGCAAAATCATGCACTATGTCATGCATCTTGAACTTTATAGAGTCTGCCTCCGTTTCTTGAAAATCCTGGAAGAAAGCGCGCGTAGCCAAGATGTCGAAGTATTCCTTACCAACCAGCTCCATGTCGTTACTTGTACATTCCTTGAGGTAACCTTGAGCCATCCACATCTTAATTAATTTCCTCCTCTCCATCACATGATCTTTCGGGAACATGGCACAGTATGTGAAACAGCTCCTTATGGCAACAGGTAAATCATAGTAACTCAACAGCAAAGGGGGAATATGCCCTTTTCAACCTCCTCTATTTCCCATAGTTCATTAGATAAAACATTTTCCCACTCTTCTGTATCTGTTTTAGATTGCATAAGGCCTCCTAGTGTCTTAGCAGCAAGAGGCAAACCTTTGCACTTATCTACAATTTGCCTGCCAATCTCTGTGAACTTCTCACACTCATCCTGGCTTCTCCCATAGAATGCTACCTGACTGAACACCGACCAGCACTCCTCGTCCGACAATTTCCCAAGGGGCAAAGAATAAGTAGATTCCATCATCTTTGCTACCGTATCCTTTCGAGTAGTCAATAAGATTCTACTGCCTGGAGCACCACACTTGAGAGATTCTTTCAGTGGTTCCCATTTTTTAGCATTATCATCCCACACGTCATCAAGCACCAGAAGGAACTTCTTTCCCTCGAGAGATTCAGAAATTTTTCGACAAAGTGGTTCCAGCTCTACTAAATTTGGAGCTGCCCCACTAAGATCTTCAATGATGGCTTTTGCAACCCTGTTCTCATCAAAAGGATGTGAGACACACACCCATATTGTCTTCTCAAAATAATCCTTGACCTCATTATCATTGTAGGCGAGTTGGGCAAGAGTTGTTTTCCCTATGCCTCCCATTCCCACTATGGAGACGACATGAAGCTGCCTTGCTTCTTGACTACTTTCGCTCAGCAACTTGCTGATCACTTTTTTCTTCTCATCTTCTCGTCCTTGCACCCTTGATACATCAACAAAGGATGTCGTTCTTAGTCGTTCGAGTTCTTCGGTGGTCTTATGCAATTCGAAACCAAATTTAGCTTTCTCGTTGGCTATAACATCCAGTCTTTCACCAACATTTTTAATCTTGTGGGCAATATCACGACGTCGAGCCACCCGACCGCAACAACAGCAACAGGAGGCCAGGAAGGAAAATACCACCGATTTTGGAGCTGAAGCATTTTCTGCTTCCTTCATTTCCCAATTCAGAATTGCAGTGCTCCACTCATCCAGCACATCATCCATATCATAGGACACATCTTTGAGCTTGTTCAGCCATTGTTTCACAGCAGCATCCTTCAGCTGTTTTCTCTCTGCATCTTCAAGAACAGCTTGGATAGCAACGAAATTGTTTTTGAGATGTTCAATTTCTTTCTCCACACCTACAACAAGTTTCACTTCATGTTCTACCTGCAATGTAACGTATTCCATCAGACCAAATTCAAAATCAAAGAATTAATCTACTAATATTCCATCAGACTATATATTAAAGAATACTGACTCCGAAGTTGGAACTCAAAAGGTTAAAAAACAGAACAAACATCCTAGATTATGTCTCATTCAATAAGGAATCAAGTTTATGATGCCATGAATTTTTTGTGCTGAAGCTAGAAAATGCTAGCAATAGTTTGAAGGTTTGAAAATCCGTTTCTCCGTTATATTTTACAATCATTTTTTTTTTTTTCAGATGACAAAAGTCCAAGTATTTAAAATCTCCTCATGTTGGCTTTTGAATTAATTTTATGTTTTGTTAATTAACTACTTGAAATTTCAAATTTGCTTTGAATTGGAAGAATCCGTTAATCATAATTGGAAATCAATACTGAAAAGGAGCTCTTTTTCGCATACAAACACTTTATTATTATCAAACAGCAATAAATTAATTTTTTTCTTAAGAAATAAATTAATTTCAATAATCAGATTACGTGAATCAATATTCAGAACAATAAGTACCAATAATTAATGTGAAACATGCATGGTATGATTGAAGTGAATTGCAATTGAAATATATTATAAGGAAATATTCTAAAATAATAAGAACATTATATTAAATAATAATAATAATAATAATAAACAACGGGTTAATGAGAAATCAATTAAATATGCTTATATAGGAAATTACTAGCATATATACTACCCTAATGTTGTCAAGGTAAGTCTATATAATATGTTTTAAAATTGTAAATAATTTAAAAAATCTAGATGTAAAATAAAAATTAATTAATTTTAATTGTGAAAAAAATTTTAATTTAATATTTATTATGTAGTATTTGATAAGATATTTATATTTCTTGTTTAATTTTATATATATCTTATGAATATTTTTTATTTTGATAAATATTAATAAAAAATGAAAACAAGCAATTAATTTTGAAAAAAATCAAGTTAGAAGAGAATACTAAATTAATTTATGTTAGAAGAGTGTTTAAGTTTAGTTAATAAGTTTAAAAAAATTAAAAAAACAACCATTAACTATTAAGAAATTTTTATTTTGAGCAAATAATAAATAAGGAAACAAATAAAAGCATAAAAACAGAGAAAAATATTTTTTTTAAAATATTGTCGTTTGCAATTATGTTTTCATATCTTAATTAATTTAAAAAATCTACATGTAAAATAAAAAATTAATCAATATTAATTTTAAGAATTTATTTAATTTACTATTTATCATATAGTATTTAATAACATATTTATTTTTCATATTTGAACTCAAGTATATCCTATTAATATGTTTGATTTTGATCAATAAAAAAAAAAAAGGAAAACACACTATTATTGATTTATTTATTTCACTAATCAAATGAGAAGAGGGCACTACTAAATCAATTTATATTAAAAAATATTTAATTTTAGTTATAAATCTATAAAAAAAAAAACAATAACCACAAACTATTGAGAAAAAGATATTATGAACAAATAATAAAATACAAAAGAAAAAAGAAAAAAAAAGAGGGAGGGCTGGATGGATCCGTAGATAACCAAGGAACTGGAAGCGCAACCCAGCCATTAAAAAAAAAAAAAAAGATTTAGACAACATTCAAGAACCTAGTTCATTTGGTCATCGGAAAAGATGGTGGCCGTTGTTTTTAGTCTCCGCATATAATTTCTACACTATTTTCACCAAAAGACACCTTAAATTAGTTAAAGACATGTAAAAACCCATTTTGAACCTCAAAACACATTCTAATGTACCTTAGAAATCCAAAAAACCTAACCATCCTCTCTTTTCTACCTTCTCTCTCCTTTCTGAATATTCAAGAACCTTGTTGTAATACAAATAAAACTTAAAGATTGTTTCGTATACAAGTAGAACTCTTAAGGAGTAAAATGTAAAAAAATACATAAAATTTCCAAAAAAAATCACTCTTAAGGAGGAAAACAACGTCAAATCTACGTATTTGTTTACTATTGCAGGGCTAAGCCACTGTGAAACACAATTTCGTTTGGGCTTCTTTATAATTTTACCCCTACAGATGTAAAGAAATCCTTAAAGATGCATGCAAGGCACAAAGCTGGCTCACTGTTATCTTCATCATTTTTCTTACAAGATGAAACAATATTAAATTAGTAAAAACTATTTACGAATTCCTGAAAAAAGAATCTTAGACAAAAGATACCCCGTATATTAGTTCTTGAATAGAAATAACTGTCATGCATGAAAATCATAACGAAACCATTTAGTACCTGTTGACGAATGATCGTTGTTATCTGCTCCAAGATTGTGGGTACAAGTGCATCAGCCATTGTTGTTTTCGATATTGGATCAGAGGAAGGAAAGAAAGCTGAAAGATCAAAGATGGTTTATTGATTGATAGAATTGATGAGAAGCTGAACAAAGGGTTGTCTGTCTGTCTTTCATAAAATGTTCGGTTTGAGCTGGATAGTTCAACGCTTCAGTAGAAAGCAATCGTATCAACGCAGCTTTAAAGGTTGGCAAGTTGGAACCACAAGGTAAAATAATAATGCAATCCGAAAGCAGTTATACACATTCTGCTTTGCCATGAAAAATAATAAAAAACTAAAAAGCAAAATTTCATTACTTGAAGTTAGTGCTGAGTATGATTCTAACCTTTCGATGTTTTTTAATTTTTCCTGACAGATTGAGCTAACTTAAAATATTTATATTGTGGTTCAAAGAATAAAAATTAAAAATTAAAAAAAACTTGAAACATTTATCAGTTTCTCTAATGACCATTTGTTTTGGGAACTGATGAATGAGTAGTTAATGCAAAAGGGTAAGGATTTGAGCTTATAATCAATATTAAAGAAAGAAAGAAAGAAAAATATTAATGTATTTTATTGAGCTACACCAGAATTATATAAATAATATCATAACTAGTCGGCTTCTCATGCTATAATGTTAGCCAAATTAAACATATTTATTTTAGTTTAATAGTATATACTATGCTATCGGTAAACTAAAATATATTAAATTAAAGATAAAATTTCATAGTTTTTAATCAAAACTAAAGAAAAATATTTCAATTTTATTGAGTTACACATTCTACTTTGCCTTGAAAAAAATCATAAAAAACTAGAAAGCAAGATTTCATTACTTGAAGTTAGGGCTAAGTATGATTCTAACCTTTAGATGTTTTTCCTTTTTAGTTTTTCCCAACGATTAAGCAAACTTAAAATATTTATATTGTGGTTTAAAATATAAAAATTAAAATTAAAAAACTTGGAACATTTATCATTTTCTCAAATGACCATTTATTTTGGGACTTGGGAAATTAATAGTTAATGCAAAAGGGTAAGGATTTGAGCTTATAATCAGTATCAAAGAAAAATATTAATGTATTTTATTGAGATACCATAACTATATAAATTATGTCATAATTAGTCGGCTTCCCATGCTATGATACGGGTTAAACTAAACATATTTATTTTAATGTAATAGTATGTACTATGCTCGTTGGTTAACTAAAATAGATTAAATTAAAAATAAAATTTCATAGTTTTTAACCAAAATTGAAGAAAAATATTTCAATTTTATTGAGTTACACATTCTGCTTTGCCATGAAAAAATCATAAAAAACTAAAAAGAAAAATTTCATTACTTGAAGTTAGGGCTGAGTATGATTCTAACCTTTCAATGTTTTTTAATTTTTCCTTACGGATTGAGCAAACTTAAAATATTCATATAGTGGTTCAAAGAATAAAAATTAAAAATTAAAAAAACTTGAAACATTTATCAGTTTCTCTAATGACCATTTATTTTGGGACCTAGGGAATGAATAGTTAATGCAAAAGGGTAAGGATTTGAGCTTATGATCAATATTAAAGAAAGAAAGAAAAATATTAATGTATTTTATTAAGCTACACCATAACTATATAAATTATATCATAACTAGTTAGCTTCCGTGCTATGTTGCGAGCCGAACTAAACATATTTATTTTAGTTTAATAGTACCTACTATGCTATCGGTTAACTAAAATATATTAAATTAAAGATAAAATTTCATAATTTTTAATCAAAAATAAAGAAAAATATTTCAGCTTTATTAAGTTACACATTTTGCTTTGCCTCGAAAAAATCATAAAAAATTAGAAAGCAAAATTTCATTACTTGAAGTTAGGGTTGAGTATGATTCTAACCTTTCAATGTTTTTTTATTTTCCGGACCGATTGAGCAAACTTAAAATGCTTATATTTTGGTTCAAAATATAAAAATTAAAAAAACTTGAAACATTTATAAGTTTCTCTAATGACCATTTATTTTGGGAACTCGGGAATGAATAGTTAATGCAAAAGGGTAAGGAGCTTATGATCGGTATTAAAGAAAGAAAGAAAAATATTAATGTATTTTATTAAGCTATGCCATAACTATATAAATTATATCATAACTAGTCAACTTCCCGTGCTATGTTGTGGGCCGAATTAAATATATTTATTTCATTTTAATAGTATGTATTATGTTGTCGGTTAACTAAAACATATTAAATTATATTTTATAGTTTTAATCAAAATTAAAAAAAAAATTAGCTACACATTATGCTTCGCTTTGAAAAACTCATAAAAAAACTAAAAAGAAAAATTTCATTACTTGAAGTTAGTTAGGGTTGAGTATGATTCTAGTCTTTCAATGTTTTTTATTTTTCCTAACCGATTGAGCAAACTTAAAATATTTATATTATGATTCATAAAATAAATATTAGAAATTAAAAAAACTTTAAACATTTATTAGTTTCTCTAAT